TCCGTGTCCCATCAGTTCCTTCTGTTTGTTATCCTCCTGGCTGTGAACTTTCTCTTACCCCGCTCTCTTCTCTAGGCTCCTACCTAATGTTTTCTCTCATCCAAGGCTCTCCCTTGGGTGATCTGTGCTTATGGTCTTTGTCGCCTCATCCCGGCCTGCTAGTTTGGTTCCTGCCTCCATCTCACTATTCAGTCTGTTTTCCTTAAGGTCAGCACTGACCTCCGAGTTCCCGAATCCTGTGAACACTTTCCAGTCCTGCTTCATTGAATACGTCTTCAAACTCTATTCCTTGGGTTTGAGGATACCACACCCTCCTGGTGGCAGTTGTTCCTCTGACCGCTCCTCTCCTTCTTCCTGGTCTCTTTCCATCCCTGCCCTCCAGTGCCTTCTTGTCATATTGCTCCCTCCCTCTACATACTCTTCCTGGTGGCTTCACTGCTTTGGTGGTTTCAACTCAGGTGTATCTCAGCCCTGCGCTCACACTCTGTCCTTTATGTTGACCTGGATGGCCCTTAGGCACTTAGCGTGTCTAAAAGTGAACTGCTCATCTTCCCATCCCCCACCCCCATTCCCAAACCTTTTCTTCCTCCAATCTTCTTTGTGTAAATTGGGCGCCTCACTCATCCTTGATTCCTCCCTGCCAATTTTACCTTCTAAGTGCTCCTTAAATCTGTTGCCTCCTCTCCACCAGTGTCTTAATTCAGATCTTTATCAGCTCTCTTCTGCAACAACCTCCTGTAGGTTTCTCTTTCTACAGTGTTGTTTCTTTCAAATGTATCTTCAGTGTAGCCACCACAGTGCTCCATATAAGACCAACCGAGCCGTGTCTTTTTCCCACTGAAATGACTCCTCATCACCTATAGACTATAATCCAAGGTCCTTAGGGTGGCCTTCAGGGCCTCTCTTGCCTCATGTTAACCACTTCGTTCTTTGAACTTTGCTTTCCAGCCATACCAAACCATGTGTCGTTCCCAGTATATGTCTTACTGTGTCTTACCTCTGTGTCTTTAATCGTGCTCTTTGCTCTCTGGAAAGAAAGCCCTGTCCTCCTGCCCCCACCACCTGGCTTTTGCCTGCCTAATCCTTTTTCATCCTTTAGCAGAGTGATTTTTTAAATATTTTAGGAGTGATGGAAAACTTTGAATATGTGGTGAATACCTGAGAACCTCTCTTTGGAGAAAATGCATATAATCCCCAAATTTGCACATGATATCAGGTTTTTAACCCAAATTAAAACCTCCTTCAGTTAAGGTATTATCTTCTCCAGGAAAATCTGTCCTAACCCACTACAGACTGGTCTGGTCTCCCTTTTTCATATTCTTTTACCATTCCATGTGCATATTTCCCTCACTGCATGTCCGATGTTACATTAAAATTACTGATTTAGTGTATTTGCCACTATATTTTGAGCTCCTTGAAGGTAATGACTATCTTGCTCATCTTTGTATCACCAGGACCTTGCACAGCACATGGGAATTATTACACACAAAAATTAAGGTTGAATATTTCTAAAGAACAAACCGGCATTTAGCAAACATAGCAAACATTTATGGAGAGCCTGCTATGTGCATGCATTGTGCTGGGTACTGAGGATTCACAAGACAAACATGATCCTTGTCCTCACCGAACTTACAACCTAATATCTAAAAAAAAGTGTGTGTGTCTGTATGTACTTATTTTTTACTATGTGCAGTAAAAGAGCATGCTTCCACCTCTTCCCATCTCTTCTGTCATTCCTCCCCTCTATCACCAGCTTTTAGTTAGTTATATTCTACTAGAGGCCTGGTGCACAAAATTCGTGCACTTGGGGGGGGGGTCCCTCAGCCCGGCCTTTGCCCTCTCGCAGTCCGGGACCCCTCACTCCTTTCCACCCACCTGCTCGCTGCTCCTTAGCACCGCCACAGAGGTGGGAGAGGTCCCTGCCACTGCTGCTATGCTCGCCAGCCATGAGCCCAGCTTCTGGCTGAGCAGTGCTCCCCCTGTGGGAGCGCACTGACTACCAGGGGGCAGCTTCTGAATTGAGTGTCTGCCCCCTGGTCAGTGTGCATCATAGCAACTGGTCGTTCCGCTGTTCGGTCGATTTGCATATTAGGGTTTTATTATGTAGGATTATGATTTTAGTTCTAGTATTTCTATGTTTAAATATCCTTTGTACTTTTATATATCTTTATATAACTTTATACCCTTAGATGTTCTTTTACATCTATTAGTTGACTTATCAGTTTTAATATTCTTTGGACTCATGTTATGAAAGATAAGTTAATCAGTACATTGAAGCGACTTCATATCTTCTCTCCCCTTATGTTTATCCAGCATTAATAGTGACATTATTTCTAAGTTGTTTTTTTACATTTTTTTTTACTTATTTTTAAGTTGTTTTCTACATGGGTCTGTGTTTTTAAAAATTTACCCTTGCCTTTAGTCTTTTTTTCTGTGGTTTTCTAGTCATTTTGTAGTTGACTGAAATTCCCTAGTTTTTCTTTTACTCCCCCTTTCCCTGTTCAAACTTTGTGCCTCACTGTCTCTGAGTAAAAGTAGCAAGAATATTAACAGCAACATTTATTGGGTACTTAGTGTGTGCCTGGTGCATTTATTATTTGTTTTTCTTTTTCTTCTTTTTAATTTAGCTTATACAACTTTATCATCAATAAGTGTTTGATTTTTTAAAAAATTTCTCCCATCCCTGCTCTTCCCTCCCCTTTGGCAACCATCAGCTTGTTCTCTATAACTATGCGTCTGTTTCTGTTTTGTTTGTTCATTTGTTTCGTTTAGATTCCACATGTAAGTGAAATCATGGCCTTGCCTCCTTCTTCCTGGTCTCTTTCCATTCCTGCCCTCTAGTGTCTTCTTGTCATATTGCTCCCTCACTCCACATGTACTAGTAGGTGAAATCATATGGTATTTGTCTCTGTCTGACTTTTTATCTTAGCATAATACCCTTTAGGTCCATCCATGTTGCAAATGGCAAGATTTCATTCTTTTTCTTGTTGAGTAATATGAGAGATCGAGAGAGATTATCTTTATCCATTTATCTATTGATAGATACGTAGTTTACTTCCATATTTTGGCTATTACTGGTAATGCTACAATGAACATAGGGCTACATGTATCTTAAAGAATTAGTGTTTTTGTTTTCTTCAAGAAGTGAAATTGCTGGGTCGTATGGCAGCTCTACTTTTTATTTTTTGAGGACTCTCCATACTGTTTTCCATAGTGGCTGCACCCATGTACAATCCCACCGCAGTGCATGAGGGTTCCCTTTTTTCCACATCCTCAACAACACTGTCGTTTCTTGATTTATTGATGGTAATCATTCTGATAGGTGTAAGCTGGTATCCCATTGTGGTTTTAATTTGCATTTCTCTGATGATAGTGATGTTGAGCATGTTTTCATATGTCTATTGGCCATCTGTATGTACTCTTGGGATAAATGTCTATTCAGGTCCTTTACCATTTTTTAATTGGATTGTGTGGGGTTTTTGGTATTAGATTTTATAAGTGCCTTATATATTTTGCACATTAACCTAATTGGGTGTATCCTATCCCATTGGTATGATATCTTTTCATTTTGTTGATAATTTCCTTCACTGTGCAAAACTTTTTAGTTTGGTATTTTGATGTTTTGTTGAGAGTTTTTTTAAATCATAAATGGATATTGAATAAAAATGTATGTATTTAAATTAAACATGGAAAAAGTGTATGGTAAGTGCTTTGATAGGGGAAGTAGGGGTAGAATAGGGATCGTATAAAAAGAACAATTTGTTTTTATTTGAGAGGAGGCCTTCCAGAGGTATGTGGAGACCTGGAGGGTACGTAGGAGGGGACTGGAGAGAGTCTGCAAAGGTCTTGATATGAAGCAGTGTTGTGTCTAAGAGCCAAAGGCAGCTCCATGTGGCTGAAGCTAGGACTTTGGTGGGTAGGAGCAGCACAGCAAGAGGAGGAGGAGTCTCCGTTAAACTGTGCCCAAGAGTTCACCCTTGCTCCTCAATTCATTGGGAGGCATAAAGAATTTTACTCTTCAATAAAGTTCCTAGCCAGTATAAGAAAGGAGGAGTGTGCCAGAGAGAGAGAGAGAGAGAGAGAGAGAGAGTGTGTGTGTGTGTGTGTGTGTGTGTGTGGAAGGTTCTATTTACTAGTGGAAAACAAACCAGCTTCCGAGCACTGAACAGAGCTGCCATGTGGCTACTGCCTCTGATGAACCAAACCGACAGAGTGGTATCATGCAATCGCTTGGATTTACACTGAGATGGAAACCACGTCATATGGATTAGGAGGATGGTACAGAAGCTAAGAAGGCCCCACGAAGGAAAACATAAAAAATATCACTCTTTCTACTACTTTTCTTGGTCTTTTTTTTTAAATCTTAACTTCTTTCCCATGAAGTTGTTTGTTATTGTTTTTTAAATACTTGCAAACAGGGATCATCTGTAAAACAGCCAGTTTCACTGACTTTTTTTTTTATTTGCTAACGTCTCTGGCTCATAAAAGGATTATCATTAAGATTACAGGAAAGCCCGACCGGTGTGGCTCAGTGGTTGAGCATTGACCTATGAACCAGGAGGTCACAGTTCGATCCCTGTCAGGGCACATGCCCAGATTGCGGGTTCATTCCCAGTGAGGGTAAGGGGGGAGGGTGCAGGAGACAGCCAATCAATGATTCTCTCTCATCATTGATGTTTCTATCTCTCTCTCTTTCCCTTCCTCTCTGAAATCAATAAAATATATTTTTAAAAGAAAACTTAAAAAAAAGATTACAGGAAAAACACATAATTTAATTTTTGTCTAACTTAAAACACATTCTAAAACATGGGTAATTTCAAAGATTGAAGAGTATTTTAATATCTACTAATGTTGAGGATTTCAGTAAATAGATCTTTTATGAGTAGATCTCATCTTTAATATCTGAAATAAACTATTTAGCAGACCTTTTATCATAAAATACTGTACATAAGGCATTTATCAAAAGATATGTATACTGACTTTCTATCTTTTTCCTTCAGATACTTTTCTTTGGATTTGGGTGGCTTTTCTTCATGCGCCAACTGTTTAAGGACTACGAGGTGAGAAGAGATCATTTTGATGATGCTAATATTGTATGAATTTAAATTGTTTTAAAATGGGGCAGAAAGAATACATCCATTTAAAAAAGGTCATGTTAAATAAACCAGACAGAGAAAGGTAAAAAAAAAAAAAAAAAGAAAGAAAGAAAGTCATGTTCACTTCCAAGACAGAAGTTTTTGTCAAATGAGTCCTATGTAATTCTTAACTTGGAGAATATGATTAGGCTTAGTTGGGGTTTTTTTGTTGGTTTTTTGTTTTGTTTTGTTTTGTTTTGTTTAAGCAAGTCATGTATATAGCCAAGAAGCCAGGAACAAGAAATGCCATGCCTTGGTGACATTAGTGTGCACACCAAAAGCAAACAGTTATTCTTTGGGAAAGAACTATAATACATCGTCTGTAAATTATATTGTGTGTTCACCACCCGAAATCTACTTCTGTCACTGTTTATCCCCCTTTACCCTCTCCTACCTACCCCACCCCCCTTTTCTCTGGTAATCATCATACTGCTGTCTGTATCTATGAGGGTGGTGTGTGTGTGTGTGTGTGTGTGTGTGTGTGTGTGTGTGTGTTGTGTGGTTTTTTTATTGCTTAATCCCTTTATCTATTTCACCCAGCCCCCCAACCCCTCTCCCCTCCGACAGCTGTCAGTTGTTCTCTGTATCTATGAGTCTGTTTCTGTTTTGTTTGTTTATTTATTTTGGTCATTAGATTCCACAAATAAGTGAAATCATATATTCGTCTTTCTCTGCTGACTTAACTCACTTAGCATAGTGCTCTCCAGGTCCACCTATGCTGTCGCAAAGAGTAAGATTTCCTTTTTATGGCTGAGTACTATCCCACTGTGTAAATGTTCCACAGTTTTTTATCCACTCATCTACTGATGGGCACTTTGGCTGCTTCCAAATCTTGCCTATTATAAATAGTGCTGCAATGAACATAGGTGTGCATATATTCTTTCCAATTAGTGTTTTGTGTTTCTTCAGATATATTCCCAGAAGTGGGATCACTGGGTCAAAAAGGAGTTCCATTTTTAATTTTTTTAAATTTATCTTCATTGTTGAAAGTATTACAGTTGTCCCCCTTCCCCCCACCCCATTGACCCCCTGTACCCTGCTCCCATCCCCTCTCCCAGGCCTTCACTGCACTATAATTTTTTGAGGAAACTCCATACTGTTTTCCACGTGGTACACCAATCTGCATTCTTATTACCTACTTTCATCTATTTCTTTAGCTCTAGGCAAGTTACTTTTGTGGCCCTCTTTCTAATGACTTGAGAATTTCTTCAAAATAAGTTTTCTGGCTTATAACCAGATTATCAATTCAGCATTTCAAACAAGAGAATGACCCTTAGTCTCTGCTTGGCTTTTAACAGGTACGTCAGTATGTCGTACAGGTGATCTTCTCGGTGACTTTTGCATTTTCTTGCACCATGTTTGAGCTCATCATCTTTGAAATCTTAGGCGTGCTGAATAGCAGGTGAGTAGGGTATTAACTGGCTCTCCTCTTGAAGAGACCTGTGTGATTTTCTTTGCAGTAAATTACTGTCTTGGATCCCATAGCTGAAAAAGTCCACCATGTGGGTAGTTCAGTCTCAGTGCTATAACAACACCAAATATGGGTGTCAGCCACCTAGTAACTGGTTTGACAAAGATTGTGAAATAGCAGGGAAAAGTCTGACCATTAGCTCCGAGATATTAATTGAGAATAAGTTCCTAAGAGCCTCATCCTACTGAGGCTTCACTCCGAGAAGTTTTACTTTTTCTCAGCTGTTCTCTGACTGAATTCCCGTAATGGCCTTCCACATGGTGCTGGTGACTGAAAAACCTCTACTTGAGAAGATCAGAATTCCTCCAAGTTAGTTAAGGGTTTTTTTATTTTTTTTTAATATACATTTTTATTGATTTCAGAGAGGGAGAGGGAGAGAGAGATAGAAACATCAATGATGAGAGAGAATCATGGATCGGCTGCCTCCTGCACACCCCCCACTGTGGATTGAGCCCGAAACCCAGGCATGTGTTGAGTACGGAGGCAGCCATCAATGTTCCACTCTCACACAAATGTTTCTCTCTCCCTCTCCCTTCTTCTCTCTCTAGAAATCTATTTAAAATTCTTTACAAAAATAAAAGAATGACTGGAAACAAGATTGAAAATAAAGGTGGGATGTTTTTGGCTGCAATGCTACAAATTAATTCATCCTTAGAGAACTTAGATCTGTGTGCCTGTGGTCTGGGAATGCAGAGTGTGATAGCACTTGCTACAGTCCTAACTCAAAACCAAACAATTAAAGGAATAAACCTAAACCGACCTGGACTGAAAGAGTCCACAGTATACAGGACTCACATGTCTGAAAGGGGCTTCTGTCTAGGGTATATAAAAAGTTCTTACAACTCAGTAATAAAAGGGCAAATAACACAACTGAAAAATGGACAAAGGATCTGGCTAGGTCTTTCTCCAAATAAGATGAAGTGGCCAATAAGCACATGAAAGGATACTCCGCAGCAGATCAAAGAAATGACAATTTGCTATCACTTGACACCCACCAGGATGGCTATAATCAAAAAGACAGTAATGCCCTAGACAGGATGCTCAGTGGTTAGAGCATTGGCCTGTGGACTGATGAGTCTCAGATTCAGTTCTGATCAAGTGTGCGTATTTCAATTGCAGGCTCAATCCCTGGCACTGGTCAGGGGGTGCACATGGGAGGCAACCAATCTATGTTTCTCTGTCTGTCTCTTCCCTCCCTCTCTAAAAAAATCAATGGAAAAAGTATCCTCGGATGAGGATTAACACACAAAAAAAAGACAGTAACAAGTGTAGACAAAGCTACGGAGAAATTGGAACCCTCATACACTGCAGGGAGAATTAAAATGGTGCAGCCACTTTGGAAAACAGTGGTAGTCCTTAAAAAATTAAATACAGAGTTATCATATGACCCAGTAGTTCCACTCCTAGGTATTTAATAAAAATAAAAGCATATGTTCACACTAAAACTTATACACAAATGTCCGTAGCATCACGTTTATAATAGCTAAAAAGAAGAACCCAAATGCCCACAACTAATGAATGGATAAACAAAATGGTTTATCTGTACAATGGAATGAAAATTATCCAGCCATAAAAAGAAATGAAGTATTGATAGATGCTACAGTATGGATAAACCTTGAAAAATTATGCTAAGTGGCCCTGGCTGGTATTCTCAGTGGTTAGAGTGTTGGCCTGTGCACCGAAGGGTCTCAGGTTCAATTCCTGTCAAGGGCACATCCCTGGGTTGCAGGTTCAATCCCCAGCCCCAGTCGGAATGCAAGTGGAAGGCAACCAACTGACGTGTCTCATCAGTGTTTCTCTCTCCCCCTCCCTCCCTTCTACTCTCTGAAAAAAAATCAATGGAAAGAATATCCTCCGGGTGAGGATCAACAAAACAAACAAACAAACAAAAATTATGCTAAGTGAAGGAAACCAGTCACTAAAGACCTCATATTACATGATTCCATTTCTAATAAATGTTCAGAATAGCAAATCGGTATGGACAGAAAGTTTCCTGGGGCTGGAAAGGTGGTTAGAAAGGGTAGTGACTGCTAATGGGTATAGGACAGTGGTTCTCAACCTTCTGGCCCTTTAAATACAGTTCCTCATGTTGTGACCCAACCATAAAATTATTTTTGTTGCTACTTCATAACTGTAATGTTGCTACTGTAATGAATCGTAATGTAAATATCTGATATGCAGGATGGTCTTAGGCGACCCCTGTGAAAGGGTCGTTCAACTGCCAAAGGGGTTGCGACCCACAGGTTGAGAACCGCTGGTATAGGATTTCCTTGCACAGTGTTGAAAATGCTTGAAATTAATTGTGATGGTCACACAATTCTCTGAAGATACTAAAACCCATTGAATTGTACACTATTTTTTTTTCTTAAATTTATTTTTAAATATATTTTTATTGATTGCAGAGAGGAAGGGAGAAAGAGAGAGAAATAGAAACATCAATGATGAGAAAGAATCATTGATCGGTTGCCTCCTGCACATACCACAGTGGGGATCGAGCTCGCAACCCAGGCATGTGCCCTGACTAGGAATTGAACTGTGACTTTTTGGTTTATGGTCAATGCTCAACCTCTGAGCCACACCGGCTGGGCGAATCGTACACTTTAAATGGTGAATTATATCTCAATAAAATGATTATAAAAATTCTAAAATATTTTAATAAATAAAATATTTAGGTGCAATAATAAAGTCATACAAATCAGATGTGTAGTTCTGTACCCACAAGGTACAGACCACACATCACTATTACAATTTTTTTAATTCTCATATTAGAATAAGACTCCCAGTGGTGAGTGAAACAATAGTCATTGTGCCAGTAATAATATATGTTCATATATATTATTATACATTGTCTATGACTATAACTAGAACACTAACATTCTCATTTTAATAAGTGAAATGTTAAGAGGTTAAGATGATTATATATATACCTTCTGGAACTTTTTTTTCTTCTCTCTATAAATGAGCAGGTAGTAACAGCCTAGTTGACTAGCTAGATGGGTATATTCAGTATTGAGTTCAAAGAGCAAGAGATCCTTGGAAGACTAACGAGAATGACAGCTGCTGCCCTTCCCTCCTAGTGACGGGCTTTGCCGTGTCTTGCAGCTCCCGTTACTTCCACTGGAAACTGAACCTGTGCGTCATTCTCCTGATCCTGGTCTTCCTGGTGCCTTTCTACATCGGCTAGTGCCTTTCTACATCGGCTATTTTATTGTGAGCAACATCCGCCTGTGTGAGTGTTTGACCCTCAGGAGCTGTTGTTTGGGGCCACCTCACACACAGCATCTTAAAGGGTTGGCACAAAATAAATATTGAATAAACGGTTAGGTTATTTGTCCTGCCATAGATCTGGTTCTGGTTCTATCAGATCATCTCCCATAACTCAGCCCACAGCTTAATTTCAGCCAAATTTCTCTTAAAGTGGTAAGGATGCTTTCTCTAAAAATAACATTGTTCCATCGCTCATTTGCCAAGTGAACAAGCCAGCCAAATATGAATTAGTGTTATCCCATAGCTTTTCAGTAGAGCAAGCTCTTTAGCTCGTATCTATTTAACCTTAGTCTTGTCTCCTCTTTCTCAGTGCACAAACAGCGACTGCTTTTTTCCTGTCTCTTATGGCTGACTTTTATGTATTTCTTCTGGAAACTAGGAGATCCATTTCCCATTCTCAGCCCAAAACACGGTGAGTGTGTATGTGTTGGGGGGAGAAGAGGAATGGGTTGTTTATAATTATCTGATACTGAAAAAAAATATTTTTTAAAAACTTCTGGTTGTGAGAAATATAGCAAATTAAGTCTCTAAAAGTTTTCTGGTTTTGAACCAAATTGTCCCTTCATCCTAGGAGGTGTCACATGCTGGTTTTTGGAACAGACTTCTTTCATTTCAGAATAGGAGTTTTTGACCTTAGAGTAGTGAATAAACTTCAAGGGAGTAAGGAGTGGACAAAGGTGTCTTTAACTTCAGTGTTCTGATACTATATGTAGATTATGGGAATATATTTGTATGTGTATTTGGAGGTGGGATGTCCATAAGCTTTTACCAGATTCCCAAAAGGGTCTGTGACCCAAAAGGACACTGCTAAAGTGAGGCTAAAGAGTCTCTTCAGGGGGTATATGGATTTGGGGAAAGAGCAGTGAATAAAACACAATTTAGTGAAAATAGAAAATTTTCTAAGAAACAGTATCTCTCTTCACACAAGAAAGCTCATTTTAAATCCAGGAACAGGTCATGAACAGTCCTAATTTCTCTGCTAAAAACAAACAAAAATGTCTTGACTAACAAATTCTTCCAGAACTACTTCACAAATACATATACAGATCTGTCTAAAATCAATTAGCCCACCTGTAATAAACATACTAGGGCTTTCATACTGGAGCTTTTAAACTATATATATATAGCCATAGCCAGTAGCTCAGTGGTTAGAGCGTCAGCCTGCAGATGGAAGGGTCCTGGGTTCGATTCCGGTCAAGGGCACATGCCCAGGTTGCAGGCTCGATCCCCAGTAGTGGGTGTGCAGGAGGCAGCCGATCAATGATTCTCATCGTTGATGTTTCTATCTCTCTCCCTTCCTCTCTGAAATCTATAAAATTACATTTTTAAAAAATTATATTTATA